TCTTCCGTTTCGGTTGGTCGACTGCAACGGTATTTGGTTGATACAACTAAGAGCCATTACGTTCCATTTCGCTAACGTGGGCATTTACACTCGCTCAGAATCAACGGTATGCTTTTGTCGCTTTTCTCTTCCTAATATGCTGTTTTCCAGACATGGAAGGAGAACATTTGCGAAGAAAGGCTGGTGAAGATCGCAAAAACACGAAAAAACCACAGTTGAACCGTGCAACGGCCAACGTTCAGCAAGCTTCCACGCAATACGCCTCAGGGTTGCAACTTTTGCCGGTAACGGAGCAACCTGAAGAAAAAAGATCCTGCTGCAGCCAGAGGGACATCGTACCAGAGCGTCATGACGATGAACAGTCGTCAGTTCTGGTCGTGCTGCCGGAAGGGGTGGAAGACACACCGTATGGTGGCACGTCCCTGAACAGCTATCGTCAGTCTGCCAAGCGCAAAGTTCATAGAACTTTCATGGCAACGATGGACGAATTGCCGATCGTCGACCGCTTGGCTATGGACGAACACTGCGACCTGGTAAATAAGCGCTGTCTTGTCCGTAAGTGTGGACGTTACTTCAATAGCCTGGCAAAACTGGCGTTTCACTTGAGTTGGTCGCATCGATTCACCATCGGAACATCTTCAACCATGCGGTGTCTTGTTTGTGGTCAGGAGATAGCAACGCGTAAATTGCTCAGGTCACACCTGCAAACTGATCACAGAGACATAGCTCCCCACAACCTAGCCGTGCAGGTGACATCGCCAACAGAAGAACATGTTTATTAATCGTTTTGGAGCTGTTATGCCGGAAAATGATGTTTTAATTTATAGTTTTACATATATATGCTCTAAATGTTTCTGTCTTAATAAAACGTAAATGTCTGTTGACGTTTGATTACCCGCAGTTGGCATCGAAATCCTACACTTAGTGTAGTGCATGACCGGATATTGAGTCAGAAGCACAAATAGGACCTAAAACCACTGACCACCGTGTGATACCTTCAAATTTTCGAAATGTGATAAAAGAGGACTATAATTATCCGCGTAGTCCTAGCTGGCTGAGGCTTGTAGGATGGAGAAGGAGATCGGTTCATACGTTGCTTCCAAAAGATTGTTAACAATTCAGCGACAGCAGTGCATAAATTGAAAGACTTGAAAACACCACGGTGAGAACAACATAAAACACGGTTTATGTATATACAACACAGACAATTTCCTTAATTGGATGATGGTCCACTACCAGCTTTTTAGCCCATATTTACAGTATTATGGAATCATTTCCATGTCTCAAAACGCCATAGTTGTACCTCACTCACTCAGTGATTGGGTATGACGCGTTAATGTGTCCGGATTCCATGTAACCCAGCAGCGGCTGGCATAACACGTCGCGTAGGCCTTCAGAAACAACGGAGCAGCGCGAAAATTTTAACAGAGACATCGATAATAGAACATTTATTACTTCTGGCAAATTTTGAGTCAGTTGTTGGAAGCCATTATAAAATTGCGCTAACTGTGAAGGTGGTGTAACAGTGAGAGTGAAGGAAACATGGCACCACAGATTCCTTATTTTAAATACGTGTCAATGGCGGAGCAATCGAACCCTTGATTTCTGCTTTACTTTAAACCATTGTAGCTCCCGTGGCAATTTGAACATTGTACACTTTCGTAGGTTCCCATGGTCTTAATAAGGAACGAACATCATGCGCGATGCGCGTAAACATCGAAGCCGCCCAGTTTTTTTCCTGCTCGTTGTTCGCAGGAGTCGCAGAGGCGGAGCTTCGATAACGCTCAGCCAGAATCAGCCAATTAACATGGAGACATCTTGTCCTAGTGCAAGTAGTTAGCTGGATCGTCTCTCCCACCGATCGATGTACAGTCGCTTCGTGGTTGCCACCTCGCCAAACTCAGCCGCCCATCGACCCGATGGAAATCAAATGTTAGGTTTCGTGGGAATCGAACTTCCAATGTGCATCCACTAGTACTTCGGCCGGATGTAAATCAGAATTGCACGATTGTTTATTACCTTACCTCCATACGTTGACTTCTGTAGTGGGAAGTCCATATTTTTCAGAAAAAATACATTTGTAACTAGACTATTATAATTTTAGTAATTAGTTCGGAATTACAGGTGAGAAGCTTAAATATTTTGTGAGGAAAAGTGGAGGGGAGGACGCACTTTGCAGCGACCATCGGCTGATCATAGCAACCAACCCCCGTCAAGCATATCGTGGTTGTTGGCTGTTGGTTTTATACAGCTTTCACACAAAATCACGTGACTACCTGATGACCAATCGTTTCGACAGAATATTTGGCCAACTTTCTATTCGTTGCCTGAAAATGGCGTGCGCTGCTGAGCTGGTTTCTTAGACCGAGTGACCACTGGCTCGAAAACCGACTGCCTCGAGGTAAATAGCCGCTGATCACAGCTATTATATGATTAATATAGCATATGATAATGAGGGGTGGGGGATGCCGAACTCCCTTGCATTTCCATGATGAAGTGAGAGTGACTTTGCTGGCACTCTTCTTTCCATGCCATAAGCCAGTTATGTCCGTCAAGACAATGTGTTCAGCTACATTACGAACATAGTACGTACAAACTTGCATCCTTTCCCAGAAAGGGGTTCTCATTAGTCCACCTTGGAACGATGAAAGGCGAGTGACCTCATATAACAAATGAGTAGCATGCATGACCCTGCAGTTCCCGGTACCTTGCGATCCTCAAAATTTATCCTTTGGCAAAAACATTAGAATTGCTTCCTTTGAATATGAGCGCCTCGATGGTGAAGGAGAATCCAAAAGTCTAAAATGACTTGGGTAGGAGAGGGGGTTGACTGTTTAGTTCGCGCTTTAGAGTTGATTCATTCAAACCTAAAACGAGTCCAACGCTTTGTCTTATTAACTGCAAATTCCTTGGAACAAACAGCTCATTCAACTATCTTCGGTACAACCAGTAAGGAAACGGCTAGCTATGCGTTTATTTGCGAATACCATGAACTACGTATTATTCTGTAGTGGCCACATCACGCCGGGAAAACACAGTAGCTAAGGTGTCTGATGGGTGTACTTCAGGGGTGCAGTTCTTCTGGATCCACCTCATGCTGGGTAAAACTCAAAATCAACATGTGGAGAAAATGGCAAACAACGATTATGGCTTTAACTTTTCGTAGGTCAACGATGCTGTTCGATGTAACTCTTTTCCTCACATCACAAACGGAACCGCATACTTTACTTCAGCATCTTACAAGAGCACTTGAGGTATACACGTTATACAGTATTTTCAAGGCCATTCCGCTTTCGTTCTGATTGGGAGCAACCATCGGTCAAGAACAGTCATCATCAACTTTGAACACGTGAATGATCAGTTCCTTAACGACGAGCGAAATGAAGCAGCTGCCTCGATAAGTCACGTACACATCGTCTTTTGGTCCAACTATACAGAGCCAGTTTGCTTCGAACATGTCATGAAACCCTGACCGCAAACTATCCGCTATGCACTGAATAGGCGTGCCCGCTTTGACCAGGTGCTTCACCAACCTGAGGGCGAATAGCTGCATCGTGGGTGGCATATTTACATCAACGGTTTCGACGTTTAACTGCTTGGGAGACATGAGCACGCGCGCTGTTGAAAACTCGTCATAACACTGAGACATAACTTACAGGCCGAAAAGCTGCACTGCCTGCTGGAGTGTACAGTAGATCCTCAGGAGCAGTGCCGCTTATTACAGGCAAAAAACGAAAAATTAACGTACCTGCCTACGTAGACGGTACGTAGTATACGTGCAAGTAAGTAACAAGATAAACAAAAAAATTGTCAACAAACATGCCCTTAAGTAATTTAGCCAGTAAACAACTCAGAATATAAGTAGACACGTAAAATTGGAAGCGTTTGCGCACTTGTATTTTAGATATTCAAATATTTTTTTCATTTTCTTTCCTGCAGAAGATTTATATTACCATCAGAGGCTAACCATATTCACCTAGCTGTTGTCTGTTACATTTTTGTAATTTTGGCAATTTTTTTTTCGCATTTTACAAATTATTGAAGCAACAAATTTCTATGCAGGTTTTAGTAGCTTTCCTGAGAGCTGCAGCTGCAGCCAAACTCCTCTGCACTGGTTCTGGAATGAGGCCATTTGAGAAATTGGGATCTTAAATTGTTCTAGTAGTCCTTATATATAAGCATCAGACTGATTGTCAGATTTTGGTAGTTTTTTTTCAAAAATAAACTATTATATTGCATACATTATGTTTCAGCTAGCCAGGGTTCGATATTGTTTGCTATTTACACTATAATTATCTTTAGATTTTCGTCTAGCAAAATGGCAGCGCCAATACTATCAGCGGCTTTGTTTTTGCAATCCAAGATTTTGATGAAGAAAACGATAACATCTGTAAGTGTAATTTTGTCGAAATAAATGGCACACTGGTTATCCTTAAGCGCGCTCATTAAACGCAATCGATGATATAGCGTTGTTTCTTAGATGACGCCTCTTTCAGATGCCAACTGTTGGTGCATAATCTTTGTAACGTTATTTTATAGCTCTGCTTGAGGCACTCATTATCAGCCAATCGCTATATTCTGTGATAATACTTTGGAACGATTAAATTGTACTGTCACACACCCTGAATTTATTTGAGATGTTTTCATCATGATCAATTTCTTATAATTATTCCTAAATGCCATCTGATCTTGCATTGCCACCGCCACTACTTCTGTTTCTGCCAACAGTTCTTGTACTGTGCAGCAAGCAACTTCTCTAGGCTGGTTCCATCAGGTATAAGACGGTAAACTTATAAGTAATTAATTTTGCACTCGCGATATATATGTATAACACACCAGGTGCACTTGCGACTGATGGGCTTTACTTTGGATGTTACAAATCTATGCATAGGGATAGTATATATTGATTTATATTTTTTTTCTTTTCACAATGGCTCCGATTCCTTCATTTCGTGGTTTCGGGAGGATGTGTCGGTACATAGTCTTATCGGTGGGCAGAACCATTCCTTTGCCGTGTATTTTTCCTGTGAAATATAATCTTGATTCAAATTAATTAGACACTTTTTGCTCAAAGCTCTTCATGTCTACGTCAGTCAGTCAGTTACGATTAACGCTTACTCTTCAACTTGGGAGGCAGATACATCGTACAGTATCGCCAAACGATCATGCGCCAGAGTTTGATCTTCGACCAAAGATTACCAGAATCTTGAGCAAATTCCTGACTTTCATATACCTGCCGCAGGTTGTTCTTGTCTGTCTCTGGCTGGTCAGTTGGACACGTGGTAACTGTTTCGCATTCATTCCTGACAGTATTCTGAAGACGTGGCCAAATCACTGCAACTGTGTGACTTCTTAATCTGGAGAAGCAGCAGGTGCACACGAAGACTCTTTTCTCTGAACCATATCAAAATGCGGGAGCCCCCCCCCCTCCGTCAATTAATCTTAGAAAGCCCATTTTAGCCACAGGTACCTAAGATCGAAGTTTTTCAGTAAAGATTCATGATCATTAGTCGTCAGATTCAGCTCTGCTATAGTTACAGCTGTTCGATATACTTCGGAGTTTACCTAAGTACTCGGTGCGTTTTTCGACTGCTTCCACGGCGGCAATTCAGAGTTGTACTGAGAAGAGGCAGCTAAGAATCCCAGGTGAAATTCCGCCATCTGGTAAACATTTAGCTCGTCGTATGCACCACCAAATGTAGGTCACTGCCGCGGGATGAAACGTTAAACCAATTAATGGAGGAAAGGTTGGGGATGGCTCTCCGGAACACGACGTAGGAAGGAAATGAACGGCATCTGGAAAGACGGTAGTTAAATTAGCTAGGAAAAGGAAAAGGCGAGAAGAGCGTAAGATGAATCAGCTTTGTACTCAGCAAAAACTGCCCCCCCATAAGTTTGCGAAGTCATCATGAGTGGGTTTACTGTGCATTCAACCGAACTGGACGACAACTTTGAAAATCTTCAAACCTATGCTTGCACAACTACAGCGGTCTAAGAGGTAATGGAAGAATTCCCTCAAGTATTAGAATAGGCCTTGGTCCAAAGGTTCACGTATTTTACCGTCATGGGCGACTTCAATGCAAGGACGGATAAGGAAGAGCCCGCAAATATTTACTGCCAGAAAAATGTGCAAAGATATTGGTTGATGAACAAGGCATAAACGAAACTTCGGTCATTGGCAACACATGGTTCAAGAAGAGCCGAAAAAGGAGGAGATGGATCGCGCTAAACACGGTGACAATGAACCAGATGGACTACGTCCTGTTTGATAAACGCCGTATCATCAGAGAAATGACAGTGGTGACGTCATGTAACACCGGCAGTGACCTCAGACTGGTGTGGACCACATTAACCTTCGAGGGGAAGATCCAGAGGAAGACACTGCAGATAGCAAATCGCAGACAATGACCAAAGGTATTCGGCGAGACCGTGCTGCAAGTATGCTTTTCCAGCGGAATCGGACAGGCAGTTGCAATTATTATTACGAATTCGGTGAGAAACTTATCCAACAAAGGTAGCAACCTCAAAGAGAGCGAAAGAAATGACCTGAGAAGAGGTATTAAGCTTGTGAGAAAAGCAAAGGAGGATGATCAGAGATGGGGCCAATACGGTTAAGAACTTTCTTCTCTGCAAACTCAATAGGTGGGATTTGGAGGATAACTCCCAGAGCTTCGGATAGCAAAATTAGACAAAACATCTGAAGACCGCGGACGCTTCAGACAATGGAGTAGAGCATCACTGTCTTGTCAGAAATGGGGATGAAGTATTGACGTTCAACAGAGTCGAGATGGAGTCAATTTGCAGAAACTTTGCACCACACCCTTTACATCAAAGACACTAATCACTAGAATGAAGTGCATTCCCCATCATAATAACCGATATTTGACATGTCGCACAGCATAAGAAGAAGGAAAAGCCCTTGAGAGAAACAGTCTGACAATTGAAAGGACCTCAGCAAATGCTGTAGTGGTCTTTAAGGGAGGTTCAGTTGCTATCTGGGAGCAGAAAAGATGCAATCACGCTGAAAAGAGTAAAAAACAACCATGTTGTTCAAATCGAGAGAGAAGGAAGCTTCGAAGAACCATCGTCAGATCTGCCTACTCTCTGAAGTATAAAGTAAACATGTTGTTCACTAAGATAATCACTGAAAAATTCACACGGGTCTGGACGAACAGCAGCCAGAGAAGCGGCCGGATTCCGAAAGAGCTACAGCACAACGGATAACATCTTTAACTGTTAGTCAGCTCCTAGAGTATGCGGGCGAATTCCAGCTCCATGAGTGTATAGGTCTCATCAACCACGAGAAAGCATTCGACAGAGTCGAATACAACACAGCGTAGACCGCATTGGCAAAACAGGGTATCGATACCTGTTACATCAACCCGCTAAAGGAAACGAAATGTGGCCGTTGCACAAACATTACTTTGCTCGACACCTCTTGTGGATTTGCGTAGACAACGCTGTGAAACAATGGACATCATCTCCTCCACCTCAGCTATCTAAGCATCGTTGATGATGTGATGGTATTCCCGGAAAATGTTAGTCAGTTACAAGAGATGCAGCAACTGCTCGAGAGAAATAGTGTGGAAATCAGAGTGCGAATCAGTTAAAGACGGCAGACGCTGCCATCGTATCCTTTCTGAAAGCCCTGGTAATATTAAACGGTGGAAAAACCGAAGAAGTCGATAAGTACGTCTACCTGGGTTACTAAATCAACACGTGATCAGGCTGGAGACACTCAAGGAGGAGAGAACACTGACTGGTCTGCATCCCACGTGATCCTGGAAGCGAACCAGGATGGTAGAAATAGTATATCGGGAGTCACTCTTTGAGGGAGAATGCTCGAAACTCGGAGGAATAACGGCGTGTAGCGCCGACGCCATTTTTCACCAATTAGCGGCCGCTAAAAGTGATCAAAGCTATACGAAAGATAGAACAGTTGATTGGTGCGTTGGTAATCGTATTCAGTGTTATTACGGCTCAGTAATTCAAAGCACAGTTTGATGGTCTGTTAGATGATAGACTGATAGTGCCGAAGTTTCGACCTGCGTCTCGCGGCTATAAAAGGTGAAAGGTCTAATGGCTAGGAAGTCTTCCAACTGCACACCAATAACTGCTCCAGAATTGCCACTTCAGAAACTACAGTCGACAACATGGCATTGTTGAACACCCGTAAAATATGAGCTGAAACATCGTTCTATCACCCGATAGATCTTGATACTGCAGGTGCATCAGTAAACCGCTATTTTTGATGATTAGAAATGTAGACTCACCCTCAAGCAGCATTTCCGCTGCGATGGCGACAGGGTAACCGACCGTTCGAGCCATTGCGGAGTAGCCCTTGGGGTCACCGCATGCAGTCAGGTCCACTTCAAACCGTTCCTAAACAAATTTTTGCACGTCGATGCTTTTATTAAAATCACCAGTGGTCACCATATCTGATTTTGGCCAGACAACGTCAATTTCGTGATGCAGAAGAATTGTTTCTCCCATTTTTGTTGAACGTCAGTAGTTTCACCAAGTGGCCGCATAAGGTATCAACCGGAGTGCTGCACAAGCGTACAGGTCCCCTGTTTTGAACAGCTCTAGTCTGAAAGACAATGTTCGATTTTTAAGACTAGCATATACAAGTGATTGCTACAGAAGAAAATACTTTTTCAAAGCATCGATTTGGAATTTCATTTCTCCTGATAGCCTCCGCTGAACAACAGATTCCAGAGATTCATTGGAGGAGTTCTGAGGTAAATTCACGAGAGCTTTTAGTAAGGCTGGCTACAACAGAAACTTGCTAAAATATAGATTAACAAAGTGCCATTTTACCCAAGTTTTTTCTTGTCCAAAATGAGGCGTGAACATTATATGTTTCTCTACGCTGAGAAATGCTTTCATCACCTCAACGAAACCCTTGTAGCGCAAGGTAGCTCACAGAACCGCATGAGCCTCCGGAACGTTGTATATGTCAAAGTATTTCGTCGAATCGCGGTTAGGGAATCCTTCAATGTTCAGCGAAGTACTGAAATCCACTTTGGTCAGGTGGAGTCAACTTTTCCTCCTGGCGGGGTCTCTACAACGTTGCCTTTTCCTAAGTATTTGGCACCAGATAACGCGTTGAGTAGAACATTCCTCGGACTCTAGCTGAATAATCTCGTCAGTGCACCAGGTGTTTTCGAAGTTTCTTAACACACATACCTGAACTTGTACCACAGTGGA